TTCGACTATTTTTATCGATTAAAACGTATAAAAATTTAACGAAAAAGAAATAAAACATACGTAAATATACTTACCGATTCGAAATAATTGATATTAAAAAATATTTCCTTTTTCAGCGTTCAATAAATTTCAGAGATTTTAAGGTTGAAACAGATGAAAGTTGAGAGAGTTTTTATCTGTATTAGAATAGATAGATAAGAAAAGTTAAGTGATTTTAAAATTTTAAGTGAGAAGTGTTTGATTTTCAATTGTTAACTAAAATAGTAATATTGTCTTTTAAACAAAACAATATTTTGCAATTGTATAACTTATTTAATGATATTTTTGTCTTTTAAAAGGCCAATGTAAAAATATAGCATAGTTGAAAAGTTAAAGTGAAAATTCGGCTTTTTGACGTGGTCATTCTTAAAAGTACCCCAAGTTATGAGAGTTTACCATAAACAATTTTTTTTCTAATTTTATTTTATAAGTAATATTTTACTTATAGATAATATTTTAATTATAATATAATAGTTTTTATAAATAGTTTTTAGTTAATATATTTTTATTTACAAATTAGTTTTGAACAAAATATTTTGGTTTGAAATAATTACTTTATAGAAGGTAAAATTAGAAGTGAATATGAGAAAATGATCAAAAAAATAGCGATTTGGTGGATTGAGAAAATTAGTCAAAATTACAATATACCGATTTTGGGTGATTTTTAAACCATTTATAATCGATGCCCAAAAAACTAGCAAACATCGATTTTTTCAATCACTCTTAAATGATGCCACTCAAGCGAGCCCTTAAGGTAAGGTAATAAGTTATACAATTTTTTTTAAACTCATTTTTCCCCCAAACTCATTTTAATATCACATTCTTCCATTGAAATAATTTTACATTTAAATCCAAAAAAAAATCTAATTTTTTAATCAAACATTTTTAAAAATCACTATCACAAAATTTATTCAAAATAAAAATGGGACTCAAACAAACTTTAAATAAAAAGGTTTTAGAACTTTATTGATAACATTTTTTTTAAGTGCAATTATTGGTAATAGTTGATTGAATAGGAAAAGACTAAATAAATGTATAATTTTCATAATTCAATTTGAATTTTTAAAAACTTTTAAAAAATATCTAAGGTAAGGTTCAATGAACTTTTATCTTTTGCCCTTGTTTGGTTCCATTATTTTCAAAATATATATTTCTCTCTTTTATTTTCAACCACACATTATTCAATAAAATAATATTACATACAAACTCAAATTTTTTCTTATTTTTTAACCACACATTCTCCATCAAATCACTATTCCAAAATGCATTTGCAGCAAGAAAAAAAAAGGAATTGAAACAAGCTCTTTATGTTTATTTTCAGAATTAATAAAGTTTTTATATACTTCTATAAATTTTTATTTAAAAACTCTTTTATAGAATTCATTTGCTTTTGCAAACTTCCATTTGAGATAAAAAAAAAAAAAAAAAAAAAAATCTGGCATATAACTTATTGCACATATTTCTGAATCATTAATTGCATGTTCAGATGATCAACAACACACAATAACAAAATTATATCTATAGTGTCAATAAAAATATTTTTTTAAAGAATATAAAAAATATAATAAGTCACCTAAATTAGAAAAGAAACAAACAAAATATAAAAAAAAATATTTCAATACTCTTTGATAAAAAAAAAAAAAAAGATCTCTAATATACAATATCATAGATGTGTTCAAATTTATATAAAGTTATTAAATTAAACAAGCAACCAATATATAAAATAAAGTTAATTTGTATTTTTATATAATTTTGATTAGAAATTGATCTCTCTCTCTCTCTCTATTGAAAAATTGGAGGAAATCATGAAAAAGAAGAGTGAAATTAATTTTTATTTACAAAATGATAATTTGAATAGGAAGAATAAGAAATGGTGAAAAAGATGACAGAAAAAATACATAAAAAATTAAAAAGAGAATGATAGTAATATAATGTTGAGGAGGGAGAAAATATTAAATTTTTGTATCATAGCTCTAGTTTTCGTAGATTGAAAAATGAAAATGAGAAATATTAGATATATATATATATATTTTTTTTTTTGTGAAAGTTTTTTAAAATCTTGGGGTCAATGAAATTTTTTATGAGATTGTATATTTGTATTTTCTCTTGAAAGTTAGTACATGAATAATTTAATAAAAAGTATTAATATTTTAGATACTCAATAACTTTTTTTTTTTTTGAAGATGAAACGAGTTTCATTGAACATCACAATAGCAAACGGTACAAGGAGGATACTCCATAACTGTTCAAAGTTCATAAAAATTTATATTAAATATATCCCAAGACATCAATGGTGCTAAGAATCTTACCTTTACTTAAAACATGTATGTCCCCCATTAAAATTATAATTCATTTTTTTCTCTATTATAATCAAAACCATACATTCTCCAATAAAATAATATTACACGTAATCTCAAAACTTCTTTTTTTTTTTTTTAACCACACATTTAAAAAAAAAACACTATTTTAACCATTAAAATTTCAAATAATGGAGGTCAAACGGGAGCTTAGAGAGATGTACTTCTTTCGTGCTCGTATGTTGACGCCCTACCAAAGTCTCAAAAACATACCTTTAAAAGTCTAGATTGAATGCACTTAGATTTTTAAGCCCTTGTTAGACAACTATTATACAATGAGGTTTTTGAGAAAAAAGAGTTTTGAAATTATGATTTTTTAAAATTGTGTAGATAAAAACAGTACAAAAAATTTTGAGGTTTAGTACAAAATATTTTACTGTGAGAATGTTAGGTTAAAATAAGTTTTACAAAAAAATTGTTTTAATGGTTGTCAAACAAGGGCTAAATCTCTAAGTCTTTAATTAATAGTTTAGTTCACCCCAAAAACTATTCTACTTATATTATTTCAAATTTTAATTTCAAAAAATATAATTTAAAATAAACCAATTTGGTTTCCCTTCTTTTTTTCAAATTCGAAAAAATATTTAAATTAATAAATGCATCCATTGTTTTAGGTTGTCGTCTGAACTAAATGAATGAATTCACAGCCAACAAGATTTTGAAAGCTTTAAGAGTTTAGAGCAAGGACTTTCCTAGACAAATGCAATGCTATCAAGTAGAGTGAATGCCTTTAGCCTTGATTTACATATTTCTTTTCAGTTTAGTCGAACTACATGGTTTGGTTAGTTTGGTTCGATTTCATTTACTTACAATGGAACCGATTAACTTCAAACACGATTGGTTCACAATCGAGAAAGAAACAAAAAGATATAAAATTTATTTTTTCTTAAACTCATTTTCAACCACACATTTCATCGAATCCACAATTTTTATCAAATTTTCAACCATATATTTCATTAATTTTTATCAAAATATATTGAAAATCTGATTTTAGTCAAACCAAACATGGCCAAAACATAAATCATGACCATGAATCAACTAAGCCTTTTACCGACTTTCTCAAAAAGGAACTATCCTTAATAAGACCTAAATTGCAAGCATGTACAACATTATACATTCTCCCACCAATTGGAAGTGTCACATGACTGATCAAATAGGGCATCAGAGCAAAGATTGCACCATGTTTCAGTTGATGCCAATGGCGAACTGTCTCCTTCTTCCTGCCCTAAATGGTTGCTGATTTTTTCCTCATCATCTGCATGTATAACTCCATTGGGGTCCTTTCGTTCGGAATTAGGGCAACACGGTATTTCTTTGTATTCAACATTTTCATCATGGGAGTTCTCTAGTAGATTCTTTAGCTGTTGTAACTGTGGACGTGTTAAAGATAAGATTTAAATGTATACTTGTTGACTTTAGATGAGATGGTTATACGTGTTCAATTCTTGTTGTATCTCATTTATAAAACTTGTGTAAGTGTCGAGAGTTTTAGTAGATTTTGACAAATATTGATGAAATGTATGGTTCAAAAGTTGATAAAAATTGTGAATCTATGAAATGTGTGATGGATATGAATTTAAGAAAATTGAATTTTAAGAAACGGGGGCCAAACGGGGACTAAAATTTTAGACGAGATAGTTAGCCATGGGAAACCAATAGAACCTATTCTTGGGAGAGGAAGTACTTCCATATCAGACCACTAATTAGATTGGGAAATTATTCTAACTTGATTTTGGCTTGCATGTATACTAGTTGGAACAAGGAGAAAGCCAAAGAATAAGATACCTGCATTTGTAAAGACTGTTTTTCCCTCATCAAAGATTCGGACTGCGCGTATAAATTGTCATAATTGGCTTTGAGCACTTTGTAATCTTGCTCGATTTGCTTCGACTTCCATCTCGCCCTTTTGTTCTGAAACCAAATAGCTACCTGGCGCGGCTGCAGCCCGAGATCTCTAGCTATTTGTAGTTTCTTACTTGGTTCAAGCTTGTTGCTTAGCTTGAATATGGATTCTAATGACTTTATTTGCGCATCACTAAACCTCTTTGCATTTTTGCTTATCTTTTTTGATAGATTTTTCTTGTGGGCAGCTTCATTTTCCTCTGATACTTCCATCACTTGAGGTTGATCGAGGGTGTTCTAAACCGGGACAATTTTTTTGTATTACTTGAGGAAAGATGTTATTGCTTGTATTCATAGATGTACTGCTTGTCTGAAACTAAGAAAAATGAGGGCTTATTAATATGAAGTAAATTGTTGTTTAGTAGTTGAGGTCTTTATCAAACCTTGCCTCATGTACAGTTAAATGCTGGTTATCCTAGGAATTTTCCACAGCTCTATTTTGGATCCTTTTTCTAAATATTTATCTTGTAATAAATTCTTTTGCAAATTTGTGGAAACTAAAGTGTTTGTATACCATACAACTATGACAATTGATGAGTGTGACAGCTTGTTACAACCTACGGTTTGGATTGCACCGAGTGACGACAAAAAATTCGTATATCTGAACCCAATTTTATTGAAAATATTTTCTTATGTGATTTTTGTTGTATTTCTTATGGTTTGTGGAGTCGAGTCGAGCATACCCGAAATACCACGAAGTATCATAGTGAAAGAATATTATGCCTATGGGACAAGATGGCATAATGAGGCATGATGAAATTGGAAAAATGGGAAGGTGAAGAATAATTGTTGCCTAATAACAACAAAAGAGATTGGCTGCCATTATATGTCATTAATCACGACGAAGACAGTTCACATTAACACTCAATCTTCTGGTTTTTAGCTTTCTCATAAAACCAAACTCTTGCGTGAATTGGATAGACATAATTAAATGGTATATTTTGTGCTCGATAGTTCATCGAAAAGAATAAAAAGAGAGACGCCGTTGAGAATTGGAAATTATAATTCTATACAATAAAGAGCAATAAAATAGTAGTAAAATAATGAACACATAAAAGAACATGAAATATATGAGACTATGTCATCGTTCGTCAATACAATAATTCACTATGATGTAAAGAAGTTTATAAGAGAAAAATAGCAAACCCTATTTATAATAAAAACTAAGGCAAAATCGAAATTACAAGTGCAAAATTTCTAACCTGTCTTTAATGAAAATTATCCTTACAAGTGCAAAATTGAAATTACAAGATTGATTTGCGTGAGGATTCCGCATAAAGAATAATAATTAAACTTCACAACTTGAAAAAACGAGAGATCCAACAATGAGACCTAACATGCCATGTAGGGACAGAAATAGCATCAACCTCCTCAAAAGTCTCATCCGTCGGCGTTTCTTGTCGTGGCCTTTGGTAAATTGTCTAATGTGGAAATTTGTTTAAAGTTTTATACTCAATTTAGTGCATACTCAACAAGTTTTGAACGGCCCAAAGTTTGCTCACTTTTCCAAGGGTGCAACTTGTTTTCTCTATGTATTTAATTAAGAATATTAGAGAAAATTCATGAAATTATAAAGATTTGGCTTCTATCGTAAAAAGATCAGAGAATAGTTTACATCAATATGTTGTTTAGAGTCATGCTAGTTGTACAATCGAGGTTGACAACCACTCATATGAGGGGGTCCATTTTTTTTTATATATATAATTTTTTAAACATGCGGACCCCGCACACATGTGAGAGGTTGTTAACCGAGGTTGTCAACCTCGGTTGTACAAATAGAATTTTCCTATTGTTTATTTATTTCACTTCAATCGATGTAAACATTGGTAAATTCACGGGGAATCCTTAAGCTTGAAAACTCATATAGAAGACAAAAACTTTCGAGATTGGTCTAGAATCTATGTCAATTCGTTTGGAATTATTTTCTCAAATTTCATTATTCCAAAAGCCAATTCATAATTGCTTCAACATATTAGTAACATTGCCGGTCTACTTACTTAAGCTAAGTCAATGTTAATATTTTATGTCTTTATCTTGATTTCCCTATGCTACTAGTAAGATAATGTTATCTATTATGAAAAAAATTTATTTATTGGGTTAATTCTATTCATAGTTAGCGTTACTTGATCCCATTATTAAATGGATCACCGTACTTCAATTTGTGCCAGTAAAATTATTGTACTTTAATTTTTATTAAACTTTAATTTAATTTTACAGAAGGTCACAACGTTTCATTTAGAAATATCAGTTGATAGCGTGGCGGTCAAATACGAACGAGCATCCTACTTGGCTTTCAAGATGCTCTAAAGTGAACAATTTATGTCCAATCCATTTTTATTTTATTTTTTGAGAGCATTTTCATTTGATTTTAAGTTTATGATGTAGACACAAATTGTTCTATTGGTAGTAGGGTTGTCAATGAATTGATTTTTTATCCTAATCCGATAAAATTAATGGAAGATTGATTTAGGGTCTCAGTTCAATAATCTGATCAAGATTTGAAACCGACAATTCGTGGATTATCATATCCGATTGGACATGGGCAGATTCGGTCCATATCTTACCGAGCCCTAGTAGGTAGTAACCATGTCATCAATTGAAATTAATAAATGGGATTGAGAGGCTTTTGTGAAATCAAATTAAAGCGTAATGATTCAATTGAAAGGAATTAAATTACAATAACTCAATTGACAATTGAGTTAAAGTATAGTGACTATGAATGAATTTACCCAAAAAATTATTAAAGATTAGAACATGTTAAACTTTCGTGGGTTCCATTCATTGTCTATATATGTTTTTTTTTTTTTTAATTCAACTATGAGTAAAATAATTTATATTTTATCTTCGATATATTTTTCGACAATATGCCGGTCGAATTTATTTTTCTTATTAAATATTAAATACGTAAATTTTTTAGTAAATAAATAGACAATATAAAAATATTATTTTCTAGATTTCTAGTAGTACTTTAATGTTCTCTCCCACTTGTACTAATCAAAACTTGTCGTGATTAGAAATTCTCAAAGGAAACATCTCTTCATCCCAACATTGCGTATCAAGTTGGGACTTCAGTTGGACAGATGTGAAGAATTTATTGCAACTTTTGAAACAGAAGTTACGTGCCAAAAAATGTTGGGTGACTTACAAGGATGGTCGGTCCATTTCTAACCGTTTAAAATTTCAAATGAAATGTTTTAAGATTTATAAGTAGAATTTATGATTTTACTTTTACTTTTTGTAGAAGATCTTTTTGATAAAATTAGCCAGACAATTTACTTCAGGAAAATTATATTTAGAAATAGTTTTTTTTAATTTTAAAAATAATTTTTGACATTTTAAAAATCATATCAGACTGACTGTTATACGACACTAGAATCAAGCAAAATATTTGCGTTTGGGTATTGCTAGGCCTCTCTATGTATAAAAAAAGCATTGGGCATGTCAACCCTTTTTAAAAAAAAATGAATTCATTGTTTATGTGAAGAGTAATGTTAAAAATTTTTTTGAATTAACATATAAATTGAAGTTACATCAATGGTAGTGGGTTGCTTTATGTCAATTTTATGGTTAGGAAATGAGGAAAAGTTGATTTATAGTGTTTTGTTCTTTGTGGATAACCATCAAATATTCTATCTGTTTGATGCTTGAAAAAGAATTATTGTTTGTCGTTTTTGGATCAAGTCATGATAAATAAATTAAGGTAACACAAATTGATTTAACATCTTCCGATAAACTTAGTGGTAGGTTGAATGTTGGGGGGAAAAATTTGTGTAGTTGGATTCTAATTTTTTATTTAAATAAAGTATTTTGTTAGCATTGGATCAAAAGGCCAGATGAGATGAGTTGGTGTTTTTGATAATTTTAAGAAATATTTCTGAGTTAAGTTTAATTCGATAAGTGAACATAAAATCTGCAAACTATTTCTGATAGTTTTTGAGATCTTGCTTAGGGTCGATATTGTTATTTCTTTCCTTTTTTTCCCCGGTATTTTAAAGAGCTTTTGAAATTGAGTTTCCCATTCGTCGATGTGGTAAGATTCATTCCGTAGCACGGGATTTTGTAATGGCAAAAACAAAGACCCTTACAATCGGATCAACTGGAGATCCTGCACTTCAATATGAGAAAGAAAGAGCATGGGAAAAGTCATTGTCACATCGCAAGGCTCATTTTGAGTTGTGGGTCATAGGGCGGGTAGCTTTATACAAATCCAAAATTCTGAAATCCCCGCTAGGGCTAAGGTTTTAGTCAAAATCCCGAAAGTCACACTACAACAAAAATAGCATACGGCAACATTCAAAAAACGTTGCCGTAGACCTTTTGCAACGTTTGGACGTGTGTTGCAAATCAAGGTGTTGTCGTAGAGTAGACCCCTACGGCAACGTTTTTTTAAACGTTGGCATAGGGGGTCTACGGCAACGTTTTTTAAACGTTGCCGTAGGGATTTTTTTTTTTTTTTTTTTTACAGCAATTTACTCAAATTGATTGACAAAATTGAAAATGAATCCTTATGAAAAAATTTTGGAATTGCATAAAAAATGATAATTTTATTAA